ATAAACTTAGGTACTGTATTGTAGTTAGAAGAAAACATTGTATTCAGTATAAAATATATTTGTATGTTAATATTTTGGAGGGTGGGGAACGGATTAATTCAAATCCCTTTATTTATGGGAAAAATCGCTTCGACTTACGATCCATCTCTGGGAACGGATTAGCATCGTAAGTCGAGGCCCCAGTGTATGTACAGTTTCACACACTATTTACACAGTAACACACTGTATTACATACTCAGTACTTTGGAAGTGAGTAATAATCAACGAAATAGTCCGTGGTGCACAGCGCGACTTCGCTCACGTTGCACTAAGTACAGATGAATTTTTGCTTCCTGTTTCCTCATTCTGTGTGCTTGCAAATAACGCACTCACGTACACCCTTGGCTTTAGTACTTGTAGGTTGTATGTAGCCAAGCTTGTAAAGCATAAGGTAGTATAGGAAAAGATCAATTTGTAAGGTAGTCTTGAAAAGATCGCTTTGTATGGTCCCACAGGAAGAGATTCAGCTTGCCTCAAGAGTATCCGTCAGTCAGAAAGAGATTCAGCTAGCCTCAAAGAGTGTCCGTTAGTCAGGAAGAGATTCATTTATTCTTGAAAATATCTATGGACAACACCACCATGGAAGCCGCTAACACTGTTCATCTGTGCTACTTGTATCAGATGCATCATCACTGAACACAGAAAGCGAATTCATCTATGTTTCATCTAAATAAATTGGAGATAGCATAGGATTGCAAAGGTGACGCTCAGAGCTACAACTGGATACGCTCGCTGTATCGTCCTCATAGGTGTTGTATTACTTGCATCCAACCTTTAGGTTTGGATGCAAGGTTTGAATTTCACCGACAGAGCGTTATCTTTCAACACTGCGTCAGACGGGTGTTTGGGAGCCAGTGGCACGTGCATCACCCATTGTTGCTCATTCAGTACTAACCCAGCCAGCAGCCCTAGGCCATTCTGGGAATTTTTTCCAAGATGGCTGCCTCTCACTGGAGGTCCTAAGAGTCCATTTCATACACAACCAACCTCGCACACATTTAGAGTGGGTACAGAAAAATAAAAAAAGAGTTTTCTCGGTTGGCGCAGTTTCCCGCCGACCGAGAATACTCGGCTGGCGCAGTTAAGTGGTTAATGGGATGAGAGCCCATTGAACATGGACTTATTATTTAAGAACCAAAGCAGATTGACCTCTAATATATTGCACAATTTCATTTGGGGTCTAGGGCTACTTTATTACAAAATTTCATTCGATTTAGAAAGGGTCAAGTGGGAGGCCTTTGGTGAATTCACATGGAATGACCCTATATCAGCTTAATTGTACAGTTGTGGTGAACAAAACATGTAGATACTTATATATAACGTCTGTATATAATGAATAAAAGCAAAAGCAGTATGGTGGGAGGAGAATGTGGACGAGTGAGGTGTTGAGGGAATGAGTGGCAGCAAGTGGCTGGCTGGTGTGTGGCGGTCACTCCTCGTTGCTTTTTGACTCATAATACCAACTTAGTGGTTCGTTATGGTGAACAAAACATGCAGATACTTATATATAACCTGTGTATATAGTGTAATAACCAACAAAGTATTTGTTTACTGCTTGATGAACATAATAATTGAATCAACAATATACACACCAAATTTTTTAGTACAGCAATGATTCACACATTTTATTATATAAATATAACACAGTACACACTATTGAATAATATTACAGCAAAAAACTACAAAAAATCAATCAGAGACATTGAAATAATTAGGTAATTATCTCTTTGTGGCCACTCCTGCCTGACAGCTGGGGAGGAGCAGACAGCCTGGGACGCATGCTGAGTCAGCGCCTGTTTTTTGCCAGACTTCCCCGCCCTATAACGGGCAATATATGCCACTTACGACTTTTTTATTATTTTTCCCCATGATCAGAGAACACAAATTAACAGGTTTAGAAGAAAAAATTATTTTTTTTTTGGTATGCGCTTGTGGGTGACAAATGCTAATTAACCCTGAGCAACACAAGGGTTAACATGAGAAAGGAACTTAATATTCCGAGCATTGTTGATCGTGTTACTGAAATTAATTGTCAAATTGGTTTAAAAATGCTTAGGCTAACTCATCCTAACCCTTGCACAGAAGCCCTCCAGAATTTATTTATTGAAGGTCAGCATTGTTCCAGATGGATAACTAAAACTGGGAATGATTTCAAAATGTATCTGGTTTATAATTTGTACCAAGAGAAACAAGAACGGCACTTTCCTGCACCGTGGGAGATTACACCCCTTCCAATTTTATTCCCTCCCTTTCCACCCAAGAAACAAATTAGAGATCAGCCCAAGCTTTGTCTTGAAGCAAAGCTCAACGCCTTAAGCCATATTGATGCTCTCTCAACAGAGCATTCTATCTCTCAAATCATATACACTGATGGTTCCCTACACTGCCCCACGGGTGCAGCTGGAAGTGCAGTTGTCCTGACAATGGGTGATGGCTTATATTTTGAGTAGGGAGTCTGTATAAACAACTGGGCCTCTACCCTTCAGACTGAACTATTTTCCTTGCTCATTGCACTGAAATGTGTACAAGTCTCCAAACTTGATACATTAATTGTAAGTGACTCTTTATCATCCTTAAATGCTCTCAATTCTTTAAGACATAACTGTAACATGCTTGTGTCCGAAGCTAGGTACAAATACAACAAAATTATTAATGGTGGTAATAGAGTCCACTTCATGTGGTCTCCATCTCATGTCGGCCTCCGAATGCATGATAGAGCTGATAAGTTAGCTAAAGAATCAGCCTTTAAAGGAGACATTGAGTATAACCTTGGATTTTCAATGAGCAGTCTGAGAGCAGCAGTACACCAAGAACTTCAACAAAATTTTGTAGAACTGAAGCAAAGTGAAATCGACACCAGTAATTCCATCTATCATCATACTATCATGCAAGAAGAGCCACACACATCTATGGTTCATCCAATAAAATCAGCAGACTTCTAGATGTTACTACTGCTTGGCTTAGACTCGGTTACAAGTATCTCTGGGAATTCTCATTACTTGCTGATGTAGACCTGAACAAATGTAAACTGTGTCAACAAAATTATTCATACACTCTCCGTCACTATGTGATGGAGTGCGAAAAGATATGTGAATTCAGGGACAATTCTATAACCAATGTTCCAGCAATGTGTAAATATTTCATTCAAAATGATCTGCTACCAGAAATTTTAGCCAAATATTCCCAGTTTACAAACTGTAGGTAGTAACTAAGTGACTGTAACATATCCACCGCTGTCCACTGGATGGGGGGGCGGTGTGTAGGACAAACATATAAATTGTGACTCTAGCTCTCCAAATACTGTATGTCAGTTGCTTAATTTAGAAACTGTACTTGTGGTCAATCTCGAACCCATTTATGATGAGATGACATACTGAATTTTGTAACTAGCTCATCAAGATTGTAACTTGCTTAGCTAAATGAATTGTGGGGTTCAGTCCCTGAGCCCATTATGTGCCTCTGTAACCCTTTCCACTACCTTACCTTGAGGTTACCTTGAGGTACTTTCGGGGCTTAGCGTCCCCTTGGCCTGGTTGTCGACCAGGCCTCCTGGTTGCTGGACTGGTCAACCAAGCTGTTGGACGCGGCTGCTCGCAGCCTGACGTATGAGTCACAGCCTGGTTGATCAGGTATCCTTTGGAGGTGTTTATCCAGTTCTCTCTTGAACACTGTGAGGGGTTTGCCAGTTATGCCCCTTATGTGTAGTGGAAGCGTGTTGAACAGTCTCGGGCCTGTGATGTTGATAGAGTTCTCTCTCAGAGTACCTGTTGCACCTCTGCTTTTCAACCGGGGGATTCTGCACATCCTGCCATGTCTTCTGGTCTCATGTGATGTTATTTCTGTGTGCAGGTTTGGGACCAGCCTCTCTAATATTTTCCACGTGTAAATTATTATGTACCTCTCCTGCCTGCGCTCAAGGGAGTACAGATTTAGGCTCTTTAGTCGGTCCCAGTAGTTTAGATGTTTTACTGAGTGGATTCTAGCAGCCCCATACCGCCCACAAGATGGGTATGGGGTGCATAATAAATGAACTAAATTAAACTATATTGTTGGTGCTGAAAGTAGAACATGAAAAAACATTTTTACTCTGAAATAATATACGTTTATAACAAAATTAGACGAAACTAAGTGACACGAGAGGCCATAGGAAGTTGACAATCCAAGCAAAAATGTTGTGGAGTGACTCCAAGATATATTGTTGCTTACAGGTTACATTAAGTTAGGTTTAGTTAGGGTTAGTTAGGTTAGGTTTAGTTAGGTTAGGTTAGGTTTTGTTTTGTTAGGTTAGATTTTGTTAGGTTTGGGTAGGTTGGTTAGATTAGGTAGGTACAGAAGGCTGATATGCCAGCAAACACTCGCCAAGCAACAATATGTCTTGGATAAGTCGCTCCACAACATTGTTGCATGGACGGTCGACTTGCTTTGGAGTCACCAGCAGCTTATTTTTGTCTAATTTCATTATGAAATGATACTTTTTCAGAGTAAAAATGTTTTTCCATGTTCTACATTCAGCACCAACATTATAATGAATAAATATATCATATTTATTCACTATGTGTTAGGAAGCTTTGGGCAGCTTGTTAAGAAGCTTTGGGCAGCTTGTTAGGAAGCTTTGGGCAGCTTGTTAGGAAGCTTTAAGTAGCTTTGAGTAACTGAGTAATTAGACGGACCTCCCAGACGACAGTATAACCCAGAGGGCATTCAACACGTTCTGTTAGCCAGCGGTCTCCAGACGGAGTAGGTGTCCACTCGTCGGCCTGGGTAAACCTCACGTAAAACCGTTAAACATATTAATAAAAATACGACATAGGAAAACCTCACAATGGAGAGTAAACATTGGAAAGTAACCACCAATGGCCCAGAGTCTACACCACCCGAGGAACAACACCATATTTCCCGGTTTTCTGGCGCAATTGTCAGTTTTACCAATGTAAAATAACAACACTGCCATCCCTACTTACCTCACATGTCAAACTTCTCACTATAAATCTTCATATAGTGACGATAATGAGATAAACATCCAGGATACCAACCAGCTCAGCTGCTGTTTGTATACACTCAAGCCGGCCAGGGCTGCCAACCCTGTCGGCGCCGATTACGTCACACCTCACACAACAAACTTATATATAAAATAATTATAATACAAGAATAAGAAGTTTCGGATTAAGATTACAAATTATTTCATTACTCTACCTGTCATCCCCCACTTTATTTTTGTGTTAAAGAGTAATTGTTTCACCTTGTAATTAAAAATTCACTGTAAATTCTGAGTTAGTTTTAAGACTCGCCCGAGGCGTGTTAGAGTGGCTTATCTAAACCCGAGCCGGGATAAAAACTATGACGTCATAATGACGTCACACCTTGCGCAAACAGTAAGAAAAAACACTATCGTATTTAATCTCTTATTTTGATTTTGTAACTAGCTCAAGTTCAAGTTCAAGATTGTAACTTGCGTAGCTAAATGAATTGTGGGGTTCAGTCCCTGAGCCCATTATCAATCCATGTTTCATAGATATACCTGGGAACACTTCTATGAAAGAAATTAAATTAAATTCTTTCTTTATTATGCACCCCATATCCATCCCATGGGCGGTGGTGTAAAGGATTACAGAGGCACATAATCGGTTCAGGAACTGAACCCTCTAAATGAAATGTTGTTGTTTTTTATTTAGGGGATATGACGACTATCAAGGGATCGGATGCTGCCCGATACCGGGAAATAGCAGAGGGATGGGATCCCTACAGTCTTTTCAGGCCACAGACAATACAATCTCCTTAGGTCACATACTTTACAGTCTCTTCAGGTCACGGACATGACGGATGAAGCGGAAGGTATGGCGAAGGGTGTCATAACGGACGTCTTCAGCCGTAGACGATAGAGATGTGCTGCCAGGCAGGTGTGTCCAATCCGGAGACTAGCGATGACAGTGTCGAGGAGTCGAGAATGATGACGAATCCATGGACGCGGGGAGGAGCTTTGAGTAAACTCGCCAGAGAGGAGGACCTGAGTGCTGGCACCATCACTGCCTCCCAACTCGCGAGGCAAGCCACCCGAAGTTGCGGGAGAATTTCGGAAAGGTCCAGGGACACATATGTGTAGTCATGGAGAGCATGTGCCATCCCTGCTGCTGCGTCGGTCACCTCATTGCCATTAATACCGATATATGACGAACCCATTGGAGATAGATCGACCACCTCGGAATACCAGAATATGAAAGCAGTTCTCCACAGATCTGAGACACAGTATGACGGTGAACTCGTGGACGCCAAGATGATATCAGATGTAGGGCTGTAACTGAGTCCACGTAGAAAACGACCACAGAGGGCCCTGAAACTTGTCGAAGGAGTCGTAAGGCTAGTATGATTGCAAACAGTTCCCCGGCCAGGCACGAATGAGCAGGGGAGAGTTTCCACGTCTGACAGAAGGAAAAAGAAGCAACTAGCTGGGTATTCTGCCGCAGATGTGGATGGTGGCTGATCTTTGCGGGAACCATTCGTGTAAACCTCCAAGTATCCAGAGTATAAGGAGGCTCGTAGGTCTGCAAAAATTAAAGGGGCCAGACCCTCTAAATTCCTCTTCCAACGAGGAGGCTTGGAAAAGTCCACAGAAACCCGAATGAGCTCTTCTGTCCACGGAGGCACCGGTGAGATGATCGGGCCAGGGGTGAGTAAGGGAAAAACTGTGTATATGCATCCAAGGCCCGGACGACGAAAGGCAACTGACGGCGTCTGGAGTGTCCGTCCGGCACATTCCACCAGTTAACCACGAGCTGGAGGCGAGTAAGTGGATGGGTAGCAGGGGAGACGCACTATCCGTTGAAACTGGCGGCAAAGGACGAGAAGACGTTCAAAACTCAGGGGCCATAACCATGACTCGGCATAGAGAGAGAGAGAGCACTGGCAAAGAAGGTATAGCTCCAAGCTGAGCGAAGGCCACCATTTTGAATGGGATCCAGCCTTGCCAAGACCGATGATGCTGCTGAACCATAGACTTCACTCACATACATGATCTTGCTACGAATGAAGGCCTGATAGAGAGTTAGGAGCGACTCCTGTGAAGCCTCCCATGCCGCACCTGAGAGCCGTGTCATGATGTTCACGCGACGAAGGCATGAGGCCCGAAGGTAATCCACATGATGCCTCCACGTCAGCCGAGGGCCGTCTAGAACGACCCCCAGCCACCTGTGTTCCGTAGCGATAGAGAGACAACGGCCCTCGACGGTCACTACTGGCTGGTCCGGCAAGCGGGTCCAGGTGAAGCTCATGACGCAACTTTTCACCGGGTTAATGTAGAGCCCTTTCCCCAGCACAATTGCAGAGAACACAGTCACGGCGTTTTGCAGGGAGCCTTGTGCCTCCAGGAGAGTGGAACCATCCGCCACGAAGGTTACGTCATCGGCATAGGCTAAAACCTGGACCCCCGGAATACCGGGAGATCAGACAGAAGAATAGAGAATAATAGCGGGCTGAGAATCGCTCCCTGGGGGACACCACGCGAGACAGGGCGGGACGTGGAGACGACTCCATCAACTGACACTTTGAATGAGCGGCCCTGTAGATAGTTTTGGAACTACCTCAACGCCGGACTCAAGAGACCTAGTCGAGCCAGACTCTGAAAGACAGCAGAATGAGACGTTTATATATTTATTTATTTATTTATTTATTTATTTATTCATTTATGCATATACAAGAAGGTACATTGGGATTGTGAGGATACATAATATGGTAATTACAATCTTGTAAAGCCACTAGTACGCACAGCGTTTCGGGCAGGTCCTTAATCTAAGAAAATTTTAAGTAGGTAAATACTTGCAAAATTTATAAAAAATGACGACAGTTACATGACAAGAAATAAAAAAAGATGAGAAAATTGTAGGTATATTAAAGCACATAGGTAGCTCAGATTGATTGCAATGACAGCGTGAATGGTAGTTGACAAAAATTGGTAGGCACAATACGAAGCTAGCACATAAAAGAAGACAGCAATGAACACAATGATAAGGTTGTTTGGGTTAAATACATAAAAATTAGGAGATTTGGTAACACTAGGTACAGAGCAAATTTAAAGCTCAGTGTAGGAAACTAAGAAGATGAAATTAGGTACTTTTTGGTTTTTCTTTTAAATAAGGCAAAAGTTTGACAGCTTTTCAATTCACTAGGGAGTGAGTTCCATAGACTAGGTCCCTTAATTTGCGTAGAGTGTTTACACAGATTAAGTTTGACCCTGGGGATATCAAAGAGATATTTATTTCTGGTGTGGTGATAATGGGTCCTATTACATCTGTCCAGGGAGAGTTTCAGAGCATGGTTTGCATTTAAGAACAGGGTTTTGTAAATGTAGTTGACACAAGAGAATGTGTGGAGGGAGTTAATATTTAGCAAGTTTAGGGATTTAAACAAGGGAGCTGAACATGTCGAAGAATGCTGCAAGAAGCACTCTTCTCCAGCGATAAGGGTCCATAATTCGATGTTCCAAGGAGAGGATGCAGTCCATCGTACTTCTTCCCGGCCGAAATCCACTGATATCCTCAGGTAGGAGACGAGGTTTCTACTACCCATTGTAGCTGGGTGTGAACAAGACGTTCCATATCAGTTTCCCGGGACATGGAAGCAGACTTATGGGCCGATATGAACTCGGGACAGACGGATCCTTCCCTGCCTTGGCCAACAGTAGGAGAATGGCGTGTTTTCATGGGTCAGGGAAGACACTAGAGAACCAGCAGGCGTTGTAGAAGTGAAAGAGGTGGGACTGAAGGAGCCTGGGCGCCCTCCGAACAAATTCATATGGGACGTTGTCTATCTCTGGCATAGTGCCCAACTTAGAGAGTGACAGAGAGTCCTCCAAATCAACAGATGTAAATGGACGATCCAGGTCCTCAGCTAGTCCTATACCCTGTCGGGAGCCCCATCCTATGGAACTCACAGAAAGGAGCGAGGAACGGTAAACATCCTCAAAGTGGTCAGCCAAACGTTAGGCTATTTGTACTTACCCCAGGCCCCCATTACCACTAGGGTCTCTGAGTGGGATGGAAGGCCGGGAGTACCTACCTGTCATCTTGCGAACAAAGACCCAGGCTCCCGCAGAGGAGGAATCAAATCGGAGAGAGGCATAGTAATCAGCCCAGGCCTTGTGTTTGGCAAGGAGGACTGTTCGTCTACATCTGGCGTCCACCCTGCGCAAGGTCTGCTGTTGCAACGGAGTAGGGTGGCACCGCCACGAATTCCACGCACGTCGCCTGTCCAGTACTGCCTGCCGACATTCAGGAGTCCACCACGGTGCCCCATGGCGGGCAGGATTGGTGGTCTGACCACTAATCCTCCTGAAATGCCGAGAGCCTACACTGAAGAGGGACTCAGAGAGAGCATCCGCTGACCCATGCAGATCTGCAGTAACTGGGGAAAGGGTCGACCAGTCATCCGCCTCATAGACATGCCACCCCTCTTCCGAGAAGTTCCACTTGGATCTTCGGGTGGTCAGAGCCGGGTGAACAGTGCCCCCAAAGGAGATGACGATGGGCAGGTGATCACTACCCAGGTAGGGCCCGGTCCATATCTGCGCCATCGTGAAGGGGCCTCTTTCAATGCAAAGATCGAGCGTTGAAGTATGCCCATTGAGCAGGTCTATCCGGGATCCCAAACCTGGCGGCGTCAGTAAGGAGAGGTCTGGGGAGTCAAGGAGAAACTGAAACAGGGCTCGACCAGCTGTGTTGTGGTGATGACCCGATAACATAAGTTGCCATGATGAGTAATTACCTAAGTGTAGTTACAGGATGAGAGCTACGCTCGTGGTGTCCCGTCTTCCCAACACTCTTTGTCATATAACGCTTTGAAACTACTGACGGTCTTGCCCTCCACCACCTTTTCACCTAACTTGTTCCAACCGTCTACCACTCTGTTTGCAAAAGTGAATTTTCGTATGTTTCTTCGGCATCTGTGTTTAGCTAGTTTAAATCTATGACCTCTTGTTCTTGAAGTTCCAGGTCTCAAGAAATCTTCCCCATCGATTTTATCAATTCCTGTTACTATTTTGTACGTAGTGATCATATCACCTCTTTTTCTTCTGTCTTCTAGTTTTGGCATATTTAATGCCTCTAACCTCTCCTGGTAGCTCT